TCAATGAAACTTGGCTGCTGCACAACACAATGCAGAAGAGGCTATAAATCTGAATCTGGAACAAAGCTGGTATGTGTAGAAGGCCACACAATTTGAGATTGCCCACAATCTCAAACAATCAGATCAGATACCAAAGTTTACATGCATACATAAATTTTATGAGCTTAAGAAACAGGTGTTGAGGAGTATCTGAGCTGAAGTTACTCTCTAACACAGGAGGCATCTCAGAAACTTACTGGGTAGAAGAAAATAAAGTAACAGTATAACTGCAAGGGCAGAAACTATGTTGCTGGGGCAGTGGCACAATATATTTAAAAAAAAAAAAAGTCAAATAAGGTAAATTATATATGAGCAAATGAAATATATTCCTGTTGGATTAAAATTCCACTCACAAATAGGAAAAAAGTAGTATTAGGGCTACACTGTGAACTTTCTGAGCAGAGTGCTGATGACAAATATACCATGCTGAGGAAGTGCTGAGAGGCTAAGAAGGCAGAAAGCAGAGGAATAAAGGGAGATTCAGTTATAACCGTGTTGAATGGGGGCCATTACTAAGAGAGCTACAGAAATGGCATTTTGGACACTATAAATGACTGCTTTTTGGAGAAACTAACCAGAAAACCAACAGAAAAAGAAATAACATTACCTGTTCAGAAAGTTTCTTTGGAAAGGCCACTCAGCAAAAAAAAAAAAATACCCATGACATACCCACATAAAATTCCCTTTCAGGACTGAAATAATCCACAACAGCAACACTTAAAAGAGAAAGTGAGGAATGCTATTAATAAGAAATTTAAAAGAGTAACCATAAAAAGGTTAAATGCTTGACGCAGCATGAAGATTGTTTAAAGATGCTATATTAGAGTCTCAGAGAAAATGTACCTATCAAAACCAAGACATTTTAAAAGATCCAAAAGGTTTCCATAGTTAAAAGGTGCGTTAGAGGAAAATATTAAAGTAAACAACCTTCACACACTGGAAGTTAGCAATTTTCCAATTATTAACCAGTGAATAACCTATCATTTAAAATTGAACATAGTATCAGAGGAATGGAAAGTAGTAAAAGTGACCTTTTTAAAGAGCTCCTGGAAAACTACAAAGCAGCCTGTCTTATTTCCATACTGAACAAACTGGTAGAAGCAAATAGAGTAAAATGATTAGATGTGTAAGTAACTATAATCATAATGCTGAAGACTCAGCATATTTTTGTGGAAGGAAGCCATGCCTTAAAAGCCTCTTGCAGTTCTTTGAAGGAGGCAGCAAGCACACAGATGCATGTGATCTGCTTGATGCTGGAGAATTCATTTTTCAAAGAGGTTTTGACACAGTCATTCAGCAAGGACTCTTAAAAAATTAAGTGATCTTGGAGTACAAAGGAAGGTCTTCCCAAGGAGTAACAGCTGATTAAAGATAGGATACAAATGCCAGCAATACTTTTAATTGACCTATTGGAATCTCATGAGTTTTGTGCTGAAATGGCTGCTGTTCAACACGTTCAGAAAGTCCTGAAAAATGGTAGAAACAGTCTATGTCAGAGCTCATGACAAAATTATCATGTGTGGTCAAAAGAAAACTGGATAATCAGAAGCTGCAAGAGGAGCTTATAGTCTGGGGTGAATAAGTGAAAAAATGATAGACAAATTCAACACCAATAAATCTGAACTGCAGCAAAACCCCTGATGGTCTCTGTATATTGATAAGTTCTGAGGTATTAACACTCAGGAAGGAGGTCAGGGTTCCCATGGACAGCTCAGAAAACAGTGATCATGGCAATGTTTAGCACTAGTCCAAAAGGCAAACAGGAAGGACTAGGAACTGCCAGAACAGGGACAGAGGAAAAGACAGAAGTCACAATTATACTACAATGTCTAAGTGAGTAGGGATATCTTGACCACTTTATGCAGTTGTGGTCAATTCATCTTACAACATACAGCCATTATGATTAAAGGCCTGGAAGTCCTGCACAAAAAATGACTGAACAGCCAAGGATGTTTCAGCTGGAGATGAGGTGATTCACATGCAGGATTATAACAGAGGAGGACAAAATCACAGATGCAGTCAAGAAAGTAAATAGGAAACATTGATTTACTGTGCCCACGTTATGGGAATTTGGGGGCAACAAATATAATTATCTAGCAGTAGGTCAAATGTAAATACATGGATCACTTCTTCACACAAAACAAATTAAACTGCATAACCCATTGCCAGAGGGTATTGTGGAGGCCAGCCATGGTGGGAAGAACTCTCCTATGGCAAACTGAACATAAAGAAGCACATAAAACATATAACCCTGAAGGTTCTGAAACCTCTGATCCTTGCACACAAGATTATTGAACTCTAAAACCTGCCACTGGGTAAGAACGCTCCTGCCCTCTTTCCTGTATCACTCCTAGACACCCTGGGGACACCCAGGGATTCACCCTGTATCTCTGGATGTGCTCAGTAACTATTCTCATCCTTTGAATCTAGCTTCTGACCTGTAGGGTAATCTAAATATCTACTAGACCAGGCATAGTACCAGGCTGCAGTATACCCAGCAGCAGACTTCCTGATTTTTCTCCTGTGGAAGAGTCTCTGACCAGTGTTGGACAAATTCTACAAAGAGAAGCTGTTTCTTTTCATCCAGAACATCGTGTGCTAAATGGAACAGATGAGAATCAGATGTAAGACCCTATTCAACTGAATAATTACCTTCCAGAACCCCAGAAGTTTCAGTTACATCTAGTGGGAGGTGTCCCTGCCCATGGCAGGGGTGTTGGAATGAGGTGACCTGTAAGGTTCCTTCCAGCCCAAATCATTCTGTGATTATGATTCTATACAGAGCTGTATAGAAAGAGAGAACATCACAGACCCAAATCCCTGCCCCAGAACAGCAAAGGAAGGAACTGGCCCAGAGAACCCAATCTGCATTTTAAGCAATACCCCGACTCGAGGCCACATGGAAATAAAATGTTCTTCTGGCTGTGAAATTCAACCCAGCTGATACATGCTCAGTTTTAGGCATTCAGCAAGGAGTGGTCTCAGTTATCTAATCCCTGTCCCCTACAGTCAGTGGAGATAACATGTTTCCAGGCAGCAATTCACTCCACTGTTCTTAGGTACAGGTCTTAGATGGTCAAAGTGCCACCAGACCCTGCTCTCCCTACTGTTTATATAAAGACTCCACATAACCAGTGTCAATCACGTACTTCCATCCTGTTTTTTACTGCCAGAGTTTGATGAGGTGAGACCTTATCAGAGGTGATGAAGTTAGAAGCAGAGGAGAAGGTGCAGCTTGGAGCTGCTGCACTGATGAGGACACTGGTAGATTGAGGGTCCAGCACGTGCTGGCTAGGAGATGGAAAAGAGAGAGAAAGGGCAAGGGAGAGAAGTGTTCAAGGAGACCTGGTAGAAGGAGATAAAGTATTGCCAGGACTCCAAATTCACAGAAATACCAGGACTGTCTGTCTTGGGGAGTTGCACTGTTTGTGAAGGATAATGCAATGTGCAACAGTATGAAAATACTGTGGGAACTTACTTATATATCTATATACTGATATACTTACATATCTATATACTTACATAGATATAGAGGCTGCAAAATTAGGACAGGAAATGGGAGATTTTATCCACTCATATACATACTAGCTTAATGCTTCACTGGGATGAGCTGTGGAAAAAAACTTTTTGGAAGCAATAAGTAATTACTTGCCAGAATTAACTAGTCTAAATTGTTTGACCCACAAGAAAAGATGCTGTTCAGGATGTGGTCTGAAATGATGCATAAGACTCAGTTCCAGAGGCAGAAGTGGGAGAGCCCATTTGTAATAATGCTCACAATTTAATTTTTACTCTGTAGTGGGATAGAGCCATCACAGTCTAAATAAATGTAGCACATGGATATTCAACTTCTGTGAAGGTAGCTCTGTAAAAATGCAGCAGTTAGTCAAAAAGATCTGAAAAGGAGCAATCCAAGACACTCAAGATGACTGTGGCTTCTAGGTTTTTCAAAAATTCTGTACTGGCAGTGAAGAAATTGGTGGGCCCATTTGGGAACTATTCGTCAAAGCCTTTTAAGAAGCTAAGTAAGTGTCCACAGGCATGGAGGAAAACCCTTGTTATGGACCAAGAGCTGGAGAAAGCATAGGATGCATGGGGTAGGGCTTAAGAGTAATTTTCCAGCATGGGTAGGAGTCAGTAGTGAGGGCTAAGAGACTGGTGCTGGGACTGGCTTTCATCCTAGTGGTGACCTCAGGCATGGAGGGGTGCAGTGAAATCCCCAGGGTTGCAAAGGATCCTCAGTTCCTTCAGGTGGTTGAATACCTCACTGAAGGTGAGGAAATCCAGAAACTGAGCAAGGAGAAACTGAAGAGGAAGAAGTCTTCACTTTAGACAAAAAAAGGGCAGGAAGGATGGAAATGTTGGAGGCTTAGAAAACTGTGAAAGCAACAACTTACCTGAACGTAGGACAGCTATTTTACCAATCTGAGCACTAGAACTAGGGGCACTTCAGGAAACTGATAGGAGATTGGTTTAGAACAGACGATGAGTTAGGGCACAGTCACAAACAGCAGGCACAGAACAGGTACTGAAAGGAGTAAGTAGGGATGTATGCAAAAAATTGTGTGTGCTGTGGGAGGACAAGGAAGACAGAGCACTGGCAGGACTGGGCTGCATTCCCTAGGCAGCACCACCTGCAGACAGAATCCAGGCTGGGTGTTGCATCAGAATGTTTTTTACATTTTTGAAGAAATGGAGCAGTACTCACAGGCAGATGTGTCGAGGAAGTGCCAGTGTTGGCAGGCAAGCAGTTAATACCATCTGAAAGCTGAACAGCAAGTTAAGAGCAAGAGGATGGAGTAGAGTAAGGTAATGTACCAAAATGAAACCTGACATAAGGGGAAATGAAGAAGAATAGCAGTGTATCATTACTGGGGGGGGAAGGTACATTATTCAGCATGTGGTAATGAATATTTTCCCAGTGTCGCCAGCCTGTCACAGTAGTTGCTACTTTTGCTTACCTGTATGTACCAGCAAGAACTTGGTCACAATCAATTAGGATAAACTTCTCCAGAACCTGGCCTGCAAATTTCTTGCCTGCTTTGCTGTAGTATGTGTCTCCACTCAGACATCTTATACGCATGTTCTGAAACCAAAGAAAGCAGAGTTGGTCAGGGGGCACGTATTGAACTAAACCAAAATGTTCCTGTATACATTCTTGGTGGACTCCCTCATGCAGGAGCTCTGATCCCAGAGGCAGAACTCAGCAGAGTATTAAGTATTTCTTAGCTTCTACATACCAAATGTTTTGTCCCAGTGCCTGCTTCTGTAAGATAAATATACCAGCAAATATTAACAACTTGCACTTAGGTACAAATTGCGGTTTGAAAAAAATTTGGAGAATCCTATGATCCTACAGATAATTCCTGAAGTATGTAAGACAATACAACTTCTTCCAGATTATTGATCATATTCAACTAACCACACTAGCTAATGGCTCTGTCTTTAAACTAAATTTTGACCCATAACAACTACCCAGTTTCTGTTCAATCTAACGTGCTGTTCTGATTTTATACAGTGACAGGCTTCTTAGAACCAAAATACTGCTCAGTAAAGAAGATCTACAGAAAAGTATGTCTACATTTTAAGAATTGCCTTTTATCTGTGTATTTCTTTATGACACTAAAATTTTCAGCTGCTGTACTCAAGTGAATCAGACCTGAACCTCATCTCTTTTAAAGACTGCAAAGAAGTTCTCTGATACAACTTTGGCCTGTAAAACCCACTGCCTGGTACAAAGTGGGTATCTCAGTATCCATCAGAAATCCTTTTTGTCATGTGAAGGTTTTGCCCATAGTAAGGGTTCTGTGCACCTCAGCTGGGGAAAGTGGAAGAGGAGAACAGTTACTAGCCTGGTCTATATGATACAGTGCCAAACAAAACATCTCATGTAAATAAACATCCCTAAGGCTTCACCTCCACTGGCCTGCCAGCTCATCCCTCACTGCCCCTCCAGGCCAGCTCCCCTGGACCTGTGGTGGCTTCAGCACACGAGGAGCTGTCACAAACTGCATTTGGCCTGGCAGCTCATACCTACCTAGCATCAGCCCTGCTAAAGACAAAGATCCATGGGAGCTGGTAGGGGCTGGACACACCACCAGGACCATTTTGCCTCTTTGGCAGAGGTGGGTGCTGCCCATGGCTCCTGGTGGCTGTGGCAGCCTCCCCTCCATCATGCAGCAGATTTCAGTCTGGCCAGGCACAGCAGCTTGTGGCAGCCAGCGTTGCAGAAAAAGACAAGCACAAATAGTTGTGACTTGCCTGCAGATGTTCTCTGTGGGGCACAGGCTCACACCCCTTCCACCCCTCCAAGAGCTGCTCCCAGGCACCGCTGTGCCTTCTCCCCTGCCCTGGCAGACTGAGCATGTGCAGGCTCCCCAGGCCACCTGCACACAGCCAGGGACCAGCTTGCCCACTCTCTGGCTTCACGTGGGATTCAGAGCATGGAAGCTGTGCCTCAGGATGAGGAGCAGGAGGCAGTCACCCTGCAGGAGTAGACTCCATTCCTGACAGCTTTCCCCTACAGGCAGGAGGTGGGCTTCCCAGAAACATCTGCTGGGGAGCTCATCCCAGCAGGGTGGGAAAGGCTTGACTCTTACTTCATGCTGAGGAAATCTCCATGCCCACCTGAGGAGCACCATTGCCTTCAGGGCTTCTTAACAGCAGCAAATCTCCTGCAGACTGGGGTCCATCTGACCCAACAGTCCATGTCTTGCAGTGGGCAATGGCAGCTGCAGAGGAGCAGGCAGAAGGCAACCGTTTATGATGCTGCCCCCTAACACTGCTGCTGACTCTGTTCTGCTAAAGGGATTTCCTGAGCCTCTGGTGGTTTGTCTGTGGGAACCTCCCCTAGACCTCTTCTCCAAGTGCTTGTCCAGTCTTCTCTTAGCTCATGGAAACTTTTAGCAGGGACAGAGATAAAGCTTCACAATCTTTGCAGCTCTCCCTTTTTGCCACCTTGTTTCCCAGCACATGTCCTCATCTGTCATCTATGAGAAGGGAGAAACTTTTCCCCCATAAGGACAGTTCCACATTGGAACAAGCTGCCTGAAGAGGTTGTACAGTCTCTGTGCTTGGAGGTTTTCAAGACCAGACCAGGTAAGGCCCTGAGCAACTATGTTTGACCTCACAAGTGATGCTGCTTTGAGCAGGAGATTGCACGTGATGAATTCCTGAGGTCCCTGCTAACTTGCATTAGTCTGTGATACTCTGAAATCTCATCACAAGTTGCTGATAGAAAGCAAGACACACTAGATGCTTGGGGAGATGTTCTCTTAATCCTGTTACCAATGAACACAGGGATTTTTTTCTCCCAGTGCTGATGTTTTAGTAGTACTGGGAGGAGCTTCCTCTCCCCTCCCTTCAGTGAAGTTAAAACCACTTCAGGTAGGCGATATTACTCAGATTTATTGCCACAGTATTTTGTTACTCCCCCTATCCTTTCCAAGGCTGGATGGCTTTCTGATATCTGGCTAACTTTTCCATCCCATGCTCTTCTTTCTCTTGATAATCCAGGCCCTGATTTGTCCAAATATGATGAGAAAAGTGCAGTCTGCAGGAAAGCCAGCCTGCCAGGTACCACTCCACCTTGAGTTAGACAGCAGTTTCAGGTTCAGGAGATGGCCATTTGAATAAATCCAGTAGTTAAGTCTTCTGCTGTGACCTCTGCCAATGCTCAATGCACCACCACGGGTGGGATCTGCTGGTGTTCAGCACCAGGATTTGATACCAGCAGGCTCACACAGCGTTCTTATAAGAGAGATGCTGGAGGGGCAATTGCTCCACATTCCCCATTAAGCCACAAATTGATGCCAGTTATTCCAAACGGGGATTTACCATCACATTCTGTGTCAACTCAGAGCCAGAAGTAAAGCATGCACACTCATTTCACTTAAATGTGAATATCAAGCATGTATGTTAATGCTCTGCTTGAGATGCACCAGCTTAAGAGGCACTTCATGTTGAGACCTGCCAATGAATCGCTGAATGGAGGAGGCAAGTGCTAATTAGCTAGTCAAGCACAAGACATGACATCAGGTCTAACAAAGACATAGACATCCTCATGGATGCAAACTCATTCTAATTGTAATTAAAAACATTAGCCAGGCTCTTGGATAAGAAGCAAATAAAATAAATTTGGGAGAGATGGAATTTTTCCGAGCAGGTGACTTTGCAGATGCATTTGTTTATGAAAGCAAACACACACCAGCATGAACAGTTGCCATCTCAAGAGGCAAGATGAAATGGGTCTGGCTTGTGAGAAGCAAGAAAGGACAGAACATCACCAACATGGTTAAGAAAGAAGACTCTCTAAATTAATCTTTGTGTAGACGGGTTAAAAATGAGGGGAAATTACGACACTGGTAACAGCATCTGTTTTGAATGCTATGAAACATTACTTTTGTATTTTTCCTAACCTATTTCTTAGTTAAGAATGGTTTTGAGGTAACTGGATAACTTCTATGCACTCCCCACCAAGATGAAGGGAAAACCCATGAAACTGATGGCTGTAAGAGAGTCAGTCCTCCAGGCAATCCTGTGCTTCCAGTGAAGGACCACAGTCTGGACTGCTGGCCTTGCAAGACTAACAAATGATGACAAAAACCACAACTTCCACTGTCAGGTGGTAGCCAGAAAGGCTATATGGGGAGCAGCAAGGTCCTAGGTATTCCTAGTTCCATTTCTGAATCCAAGTTCCATTTCTGAACCTGTAAGTTCCCAAGAGAGCTTGCCTCACTGACACATTAGTTTTTATTGTTTGCCTGCTCTGGGCACCCCACACCATTGCTGATGGACACCTTACTGAGTAGGGAATCAGGCTCTTCACAGATCCCTCATTAACCCCTCACTGAGTCACGAAGCCTAAAAGTAGATCTTAACATGAGATTTGTGATGTGGTTTTACACCGAGGCAGGGCAGCAGGGCTAGGAGGAAACTGTAGGTTTTGCATCAGGACATCTGAAGGAACTCACTGCTTCCCTTCTCCACCCAGCTATTGTACTACAGCAGCTCTGGCCAGGATCTAAACTGAGGTCAGGGATCTGAACTGTGAGAGATTTAAGTCTTGAAATTCCATGTCCTAGAGCAGGGGCCAGGAGGTGACAAGGCAAAGAGATGATACACGTCCACATGAGTGTAAGCTGGCTGCTCCACCTCTGCCTATCTGCACCAGCCCAGCAGAGGGTTCAGTAATGCACTGCATCTCATTGGCCTTGCCTGTACACTTCTTGTGTGTCAAACTGGAATGAGGACCACAGAACATCAAGATACAGGACTAGGAGATTCCCCAACTCCTCCTTCTGTGCTTACAGACAGATCTCAATTTCCTAGACCGAATGGCTATGGTCTCTCAGCCTGGGACACTGGGGGAAGGGATAGGTCCTAGTGACCAGGCAAAGGGAACAGAACAAAGGATACACAGTTTTTGTTGATTCCAAGACCTGTTTATCATATCCAGTGTGTGACCGAAAACTTACCGGGAAGCTGTCCTGAGTAAGAGACATTTTATTGCACATTTCCACAAAATGCTTCAAGTACTCTTCATCCAGGATCAGATAAACAGGGACATGCCGTCTGCTTGAGGCCTCCAGCAGGTCACACAGAATTTCCATGTCTGTAAACAGATCCATCACAATTGCTATCACCTAGGCGGGAGAGAAGAGGTGGGAGAAGGGAAACCAAGAGACTGTTGAAATCTCATGCTCAGATGAATTGTACTTTAAAGTATGAATTAAATATTCAAACCTTCCAAGTTACTGAGTGTCTGTGTCCATGTGAGTGGAGTCTGCTTCTGAACCTTTGTGTTTACCAGCCCCTACCCCAGCACAGCAGATAAAACCACTATTAACAGAACTACGAAGACGTTCCCCATCCAGCTACCTCCTGTCTCATCTGTCATTCACAGAAATAACTGGCAGGGTAATGCACAAACTCTGAATGCCATTGACACCACAAGTATGTATGAAGTAAATGTGCCAGAAACGCAGCATATAAACAGAAGAACTGAGACCAGCCAAAATCATTATTCAATACGTGTGAGTGATCACTAGCGTATATATATATACACTAGATCACTAGGATAGTGATCACTAGTATATTGAGAAGTATCATTTTTTTTTCAGGAAGGACACACTGCCTGGTAAGGGAGAAGGTACCTTGATCAGCTATGTACCTGCCCTTGTTCTAAGATTACATCCTAGGGGTGGCTAGACAACAATCATAGGATCAAGTGTGGGAAGGATCCCTCCCCTTCCTTGCTGGCAGCACTCCTGCTAATGCAGCCCAGGATGCAAGTGATAGTTATAAAACCTAACAGTAGGAAGAAGGAATAACACTAACATTATTAAATAAAAAAACAAACAGACAAAACCCCTGAAACACCCAACCACAGAATGCAAGAAAATATACATCAATAAACTGGGGGAGTTGCAAGATAAGGTCTCCAAGGAAGAAGTTTTAAAAAGGAAAAGAGTTTTAAAAAGAACTGCCAGTTCTTTATAGAATGAGATTGGAAAGTACCATGGCACCCTACCCTACTGTGGAGCTGGGATGAGAGGCAGCAGATCACCTTGGCTAAGTCAGTTCTCCAAAAATTGAAAGAAAAATACAGAAAATGGAAAGTAAGTCATGGCAAGTGCCTACTACAAGAAAGCTGATCCAGAAGGATGAATTCAAAGTACAGTATGACCTGCAACCAGAACAGTGGGTCAGGGGAAATCAACCATAGACAAAGATGTGACTGAAGAAGCTGTTCCACTGTTCCTCACAGGGTGAGGCTTCCACAAGACAACATCAGGGTGGCCTTTTGATCAGGAAGGGACTGCTGGGTCACCACTAGTGACTTTAGGAATCATGGACGTCATGGAGAAGGAACAAACAGGCAGGAGAGCACTTGCTGAGCTGGATGATTTGTCAGGCCTGACACACTTCACCCGAGGGTGCTTGCAGAGCAATCTGGTTATTTAAACCTCGAACCATTAACAGTTAACACTGGGAACTCATGGAAGATGCCAACACGCTGAGGGATGGAAAAAGTTCAAGTAGAAAAAGGTTTATCAACAGGCCAGCTTCTTTTCAAAAGCTGAAGAAAATGATGGAACTGCTGACCCAGTACTTCATTCCCAGTCTTTACCATATTGTCACAGCAAATAAGGTAACTGGTGTGTTTAAGTTGTGTGCATAAATCTGATTTTGACTTTCTGCACCTAGTAGAGGATGCTCAAATAAAATGGCCCAAAAAGCACTGATTTTGGAGCGAAGCTCCAATGGCCTGCTTTACCCTGCAGTTCACTGGCCATGCCCTACACTACACCTTGCACACAAAATACACAACAGAGATTGCTCTGCTGCACTGGAGGAGGGAGGAATCTTGTTTTCAAACATCTCCTTTGAATGCAATTCTCCACGGTCCAAGTCACCCAATCACCAAATCATGGTGACATCACCACACAGAGTGACCTTTCCTCTGCCACTTTTGCTCAGCTGCTGCTCTTCAAAGCAAGAGTGCAATACAGAGGACAGCAGTGAGATTGACTTCAACACACGCAGTGCTTCAAGCTTCAGATAGGAACAAGCTGAGTCGTGTTCACAGTTCTAACCCAGAACAGTCTCAGAAAAGAGTGGAGGAGCTCCAAGTCTCTTACTGTCCTTAATGTGGGGACAGGCTCCTGTCTGTGCTTCAGACTGGTACACTGGCCCCACGCCACCCAGTGCCCAGTAGCTCTTCAGCCTGTGTTAACAAACTGCCTCCTCCCAGGCTGGTGCTCACAGCCGAGGTGCTGAGCAAAGGCAGCTGCCGTGGGCAGAGTGGGGCCCATTGGCCTCCCCATGCTCTCCTGCCCAGTCTTCTTCTTGGCAAGCTGCCTTCTCCCAGCCCTGCTCTGCCTGTGCACACCATGGAGAGACCCTCTGCCCCAGAGCCACGGCAGAGGAGGGCAGCAATGCCAAAGGGTTGCTTCCTGCTCCCTTGGGGATTTATCCCTTTTGCATGTGGACAAGATTTCTTGGCTCTGTCTGATTTTTCCCCAAAGACTCTCTCTGTGATGATGCCTTACATGCTGTCACTGGTCCTGAGCATCTTGCAGAAGAGCCCAGACCCAGCCAACCACAGCAGGGTTTGGGGAAGAACCTTGAGCTCATGCTCAAGGCATCCATGTGGGACACAAAGCAGCTGTCACCAACAGCTAAAGATCTTTTCTACTGTCCAGGCCAAAAGCAAATCTCCACCCTCTCACGCTGGCTCTGAGAGGTACAGGGTTCACAGCCTGACTCTGAAGGGCACCCCTTTTGCAGTCCTCATCAGTATTGTCTTCCTAGGAGCCTTATGAAGCCCTGGCAAACTTTTCTTCCCTCCTGAAATGCACCCGTCTGTCATGGAGAGGAAGTTCAGCCCCAGAAGAGCTCCGAAAACAGGGAGAAGCATCTTCAGCTCCCCAAACTAATGCTGCTGCTGCACTATCAACATTAGGAATCGCTGAGCCCCACACAGAAAAGCAGGACTTCACACATTGGCCTTCAGCCTAAGACCAAAGGCAATTTAGTCAAATGACTTTGATGGCTACCCATCCTCTCATGATGAAGCCAAGAAAAAACTGCAGCTCCATCCAAAGGCCTCAGGCAAGTCCCTCTCAGCCACACTTTGCCTCACAATATTCCAGCTCATCTCAAGCTTAGCTCTGAAGCAGACTTGGCCCTGGAGACAATCTAAACTTGGCTTGGGAAGTGGATATGATGAGCCAAGAGGCGTGGATGCTCCTTTGTCCCCAGACCCCACCTGCTCTGAAGCACTGCTCACGCCTAGTGTGCATGGAAGCTCCACATCATTTTGCTTCTCTACCAGTGCTCACAGGCTTTGGCAGAGTTTGGGCTGTCACTTGCCCAAAACCAGTAGTGCCAGTCTGCAGTGCTCACTGTGAGATGGATGTGGCAGAGTTACCCACGGTACCCAGTGCCCTGGGCTGGAAGCAGCTGGCTGACAGGCAGACGTGCATCTCCTGACAGCCTCGTGGCAGGGCTTTGGCACCAGCACTGGAGCAAGTGCCCCAGGCAGCAGGGTGCCAGCTTGTGCAAGCTGGGTGGAGCCCGGCGTGACAGGCAGGCTCATGTTTTCTGAAGTGGGTCTTCACTTGGCATCAGGAGGTGGAACGGGTCTATTCACAGCCTCCTCAGATGCAATCCCTTCACAGGAGGGATTTGGGTAGAGGTGCTCCTGGTGGTGCTAGCAAGCACCCACTGTGGATGTCAGGCAAGAAGGCTGGAAGCCTCATGAATACTGCAGTTCACAGCGAGGAGAGAGGGGAGGTTGTGCCCTGCTGCAGCCTCTCATGGTAGAGATGCAGGCACTCATGGTATGGCTGCTTATTCTAAACATAGGTGCCACAGGACAACCACTATGGCCACTCATGTCCTCAGTAGACAAAGCAGGTCTTTTTTGGCTTTGGACATTTAAGTCAATCTGTCCCTACAAACCTGTATGTCCAGTGCCTCCAGCCCCTCGGTTTCAGTGGTGGGAGCTGCAAGGCTGGGGCTGGCTCAGAGCATCCCTGTTCCCCATGATGCTGATCACAGCCCCCAAACCCATGACACAGCCTCAACAGGTCAGGACATTGCAAATACACAGCTGTCCCAGAGGCTCGAGAAGATTCACACCTTGCCATTGTAGGGTTAAATCATGACATTTCTAAACCCACTTCTGGAAACTCACAATTCAGCAATTACTGCAGTCATCACTTTAGGAATTACAGCACTTACCAGCACCCCACTGTGGTTGCCATCTGTCTGGTTTCTAACCAGCACAGCTGGTTTTACTGGTATTTGCCAATAGCAGTGTGGGTTTGGTCATTACTGTAGCCCTGCCATTTGGAGCAGCACACTGCTTCTCTGGGGGACCATCAGGGACCCTTCTGTCACCACACGTAAGCACGGGTGCACAGCCAGCATCAAGAGTTGTGCAAGAGGGGTGAAAAAAGAAGCATGGACAGTTCAAAATAGACTGGAGCTCATCCAACAAAAATTAAATTGTAATAGTATTATCAAATGAAGGCTAAGGTGTGGCTGTGCTGCATCTTCTTATGTCTGCAAAAAGAAAAGCTCAGCTCTGAAAATACATCTTCAAAGACAGTTGGTTAAATACAGCAAAGCAGAATGACAAACCACACCAGCCAAAGCTACCAATAAAACAGATCTCCTTTTGCTCATTTGTCAGTACAAATGCAATGTTGCAAAATACGTCAGCTGATGTTCTGTGTGACTGTCAATGAGAAAACAGCAAACAAGGTTTCAAGACACGTGTCTTCATGTCTACAGGAGCTAGGGAAAGCAATCAGGGGCCTCAACATCTTTCCCAGATCCCAGCAGCACTGTATTCCTCTTCTATGCTAGCTGTAAGCACACAGGAGGAGAAACACTCTGAAGGAGTGAGATATGGTGAGAGCTTAAAGTCTAGTAGAGGAAATACCTTAAATGCAGAAAGAGCTGCATTTTTAAAAGCAAAAAAAGCAAGTGGTTCTCTGCAGCATTGCTACTGGCACTTCACACAGAAGATGGGTTTGCCTTTGGGTTGCTCTTTTGTCATTAAAAGACATACAGGTAACATCTTTTTGGATGGTTTGATGAGCAAAATGACTCAGGAACTACTTAAAACATGTGTAACTGGGTTGTGAATGAGCTAGAACTGCTGTCAGTCATAGAGTTAATCATGGGAAGCACTGGCCAGAGCTGCTAAGCTAGAAGCCAGTAGAATATCAGAAACAAAACAACAGCATGGTTGAAAACTCATTCTCACATTTAATGCAAATACACTACATGAAAATTCCCACCTTGAACCTAAAGGGCTGAAGATTGTCAGTGCTTTGTCAAGCCAAGCAAAAAAAGAGCTCAAACTGTACTTGAAGTACAATAAAGTACCTACTGCCTGGGCAACCTCCCTGCAGCAGTAGAGAAGTTCCTGTGAACTGAGAAAACAGCAAGCTGTTCTTCACGTGGTGTAAAGGATGACATTGTCATTGGAGATCCGGGACACGTCCCAAGGGACAAGGTAACATTGCTTGGTTGTCATTTACTTTGTGCATTGTGCCATGACTATGTCTTAATCCCTGTTTCTGAAGAGGATGCGATAAGTGTCACAGACTTTTCAGACCGTTTAAGATATCAGCTGCCTGCAAAGACAAACAAAGCTTTTTGTCAATTACTTCCTGGACCAAACTTCCCATATTTGCCTACAGAGGTGAAACAGAAGTTCAGGCATTAAGCAATGGCTGCTTACAACTGCTTACGTGGCAAAAGGTCTTTTGGACAAAAGAAGAAAAGAGCCCCATTTACCTCATGGCATATTCGGATGTCAATGCCATGTGGTCCTTTGATGATGTTGTGATGCTGTCCAGCTATCTGAGCTGCTCCATGGCCCCAGTTTCATCTGCTGGGGCCAACATAACTTTCGTTTGCTCAGTCCTGCAGATGGTCATAGGAGATAACCCTCTAGCTCAGCCTGCCTGGAAACAGCGTGTGTTCTCAACACAGCTTAACAAGTCTTTAACTTCCGCTTGCTACACTGGGGAGTAATGAATTTGAGGAGTGACTGTAAAATTAAATAAGAAACTACTGCAGTGATAAGAGAAATTGCCTAGAAGCTGATTGGTTAAAAGTGAACTTTGCTCTACAATTTTACTCAGTATCACCACATTACTGAAATGAAATACTATAAAAGAAAATTAATGTGGAATAGATGAGAAGAGCCACAAAGAGGATAAAGACAAAAAAAGCTGAAAAAGTGTCTGAGATACAGTTGTCTGAGCTGCTGTATTTTCCACAGTATTTTTAAAGTATTCCTTTTTACTTTATACAGCAAAGTAAAAGGAAACAAGAAGGAGCATAATTGAGGGTGTAAATTCATGCCAGGATTGTGCTTGGTAGGCAAGTGTAGCAATCATCCAGTTTTTATTACATCCAGGAGTTGCCAATCTCTACCCAACAGAAATTGTATGATGGGGCAAATGGGCTGATCTTAACTTACCCTCAGAGAGGCACAGACACAAAGTCTAGAAGATATGATGATGTATCCTAACCTACTTCAAACCACAGGCAGGGATTTACAGTCCCACAAGTTTATTCAGGTTCTGTGTTCTCCCACAGTAACTGACTAGTGGTATCCTCTTATCCAGCTGAACGTGATGCCCGGGGGCTGAAGAAAGCCCCGGCCGTGCAAAGGCCCTGGCAGGGGACAGCTGAGTGTTAACACTGCAAGTCCTGCTGCTCTCCTGCTCCAGGCTCTCCTCCTGTGCTCTGCATACCTGCAAACCCAGACTCAGAGCACCTTAAAGGGCATTGCCTGTATGCCACGACATCTCACACAGAAAGACATGACAGGACAAGAAAGGAGCAGGAACAGTTACAGATCTGCTAGAGGACGAGCAATCATGTCACACCAGACATCCAGAGAACAGCAACAACTTGGAGCACGTGGCCTACGGCCGTGGGACCAGCCACCAGGGCTTGGGTGCTGTGGCAGGAGACCTCGCAGAGGGCCCCAGCTCGGTACGTACCGTCCGCGCCCGGCTGATCAGAGAGCGCAGCAGATCCTTGATGCTGTTGGCTTTGTTCCTCTGGAAGATGACAGTAGCTTCAGTCTGGCACGAGGCCGTGAAAAGCGGCATCCCCGGCCACCCCAGCTCCAGCTCTGGGGGGTGCACGTCAGACATGAGTGGAAAGTAAGTGCCAGACGTCAGTTCAGAGTTGAGGGAGGCTCCGTCCCCAGCGTCCACGTCGGCAGAGTCGGCCTCTCTGTCCTTCAGCGCGCCGGGACCCGGGCAGCCGTGGCTCCTCTGCTGGCTCATGTATTCCATGTCCAGGAGAGAAAGGAAAGGCAGCTCGCGCTCCTCGGCGATGGCACTCAGGTAGCCCTGCTCCCCCTGCTCCAGGAAGGCGTCTATGGCGAGCCTGGCTGTTTCGCTGTGCTGCAGAACCAGCGGGGTGGGCTCCCTCCACCACGGCTTCTTCAGCTGCTCCAGGCGGCTCCTCAGTGGCCCTGACACCCCTTGCTGGCCCCCATAGCTGCGGTGGAACTGGGGTCTCACCTCTATTGCTAAGTAGTTGAACATGACTGGTGCTGTTGATGCTAGGATGTGCCTCTCCAGCTGGATCTGCCTGACTCGAGGTCTGTTCTGGCCCTCTTGCACTCCTGAGCTCCTCCCAACAGGTTCCTTCAGGACTCAGCATGAGCTCCACTCCTCCACATGGGAATTAATCACCAGGTACAGCCTCCCAGTCTGGGGGAGGAGCTGCCTTTCCCCAGCTCCCTCATACACCTGATACTTGGTGCTTAGAGTGTCCCTTTTGCAAGGGGAGGGAGATCAGCTCTTCAAGCTGCTCCTTCCCTTTCCTTTGAAATGATTAATGCATTGCTCCCCCCCGCTTCTCTACTGAGAGGTCCCCACCCTTGGCCAAGCAGGCTCTAACCTGTTTTGTCCCTCATTGTGCTCACAGTGGAAATGCAGATGCTGAAACTTGTTCCTGCTTGAAATTTGTTCCAAATCAAACATGCTTCTCAGTGTCAGTTATAATGAAATACAAATACCCCAAGTACATAATAGGTCTTGGCCAAGAAACTTATTCATTGCTGAACCATAGCTAACGCTCCTCCTCAGAATGTCTTGGAAGCCCAGGCTCTGCTAGAAAGGCATCTGGCAGAGGAGCCAAACCACCTTTTTTGATACCATAGGGTCATAG